TTCCCATACAAGATATGGTTTATATACCCAGGGAACATCTTAAAAATTATGAATGTCAATAGATCATGTAAATAAAATTAAGATTTCTACACATGCCAGCAATATATAAGAACTTTGCGACTCATTTGTTGTTTCTATACACAGCAGACGAAAGTATACTATATAGAGCCGATTGTGTACTGTTTAAGAATATATATATATATATAAGGCATTCGGAAATAGTATTTTTATGCATTACACGTTTCATGACACAATGTAAGCATACCCAAATTGGATGCCTCCACAACATTAGCATAGACGCCTGAAGCAAAGTTTTGGACTGAATCGGAATACGCTGTTGGAAACTGAAATCGGAACTCGATCTTAAATTTGTAAACGTTAACTAAAAGAATACAACAGTTCGAAGTCGCGCAGCTGAGTTTATATAACAATGTGTGTTTTTTGGTCTATTTCAAAAATGTTTTCCATTTTAAGATATTACTAGGTAAGCAACATACAGATCCGCTTCTTTCTTATGGTTTATAATGGTATTGATGATATCGAATATCATATAGCTAAAACTAATAAACTTTTATGAAGATATATGTGCTCTATAAATATGATATATCGCAAGTCATATGAATGAATCAGCTAAATAACTTCAACTTTGCATTTTGTTTCTAGTGTTTGCCCTGAAGTGCATTATTTTAAGCTAAAAATAAAGTTAAATAAAAATTTGACCAATTTTTTTTTTTAGAATTTTAGAATTTTACTTTATTTTGTCTCAAGTATTCGGGTTGGGCAACCTGTTCGAACCCTTGCTGCTCCTTACAACACTTCCTCGCATCGGGGTAGGCAAACAGAAATACATTACAATTTCCCACGAACCCTTTAGGGTCATCAAAATTTCTCATATACACATTGTTAGGCATAAAGATCTAGATTTACAAGACAGCCGCCCTGTAATAGCACTTTCTCGGCCATATCACATTTACATATTGGACATGCGAGAGAGAGAGAGAGAGATAGAGAAAAGCGTGAAATTTCGCATAACTTGAACCCCTGCTGTTTCCCAAGGAATTTGAAACTGTAAACTACCCCTAAAAGTTCCCTACCAAAATGACCTTTAATGATGATGTTCTGATTGTGGCCTTTGTCTGAGTAGCTGTTCCTGTTGTTTGCTGCAGAGCTAAGGAAATTACATGGCAAATCGTTCTGTGCGAAGCTAAATGCCATTTGCTGTCAAGACCAAAAACAGGAAATGCCCGTACGTCTGTCCGGCTAGTCTTGACATTACAATATCTAACCACGCCCATCATCACCCAGCCATTTAGCCAAGTAGCTATAAAAAGTTTTATGGATATATATGCATTATATAGGTACATATATATACACATGCACACGTATGTGTGTATTTTGTACCACTGTGCAATTAAAGCCGTCTTGCCTTTATGACATCATAAAGGTGTAATCGAAGGTGCATGCATATTTTATTATATGACCATATACGGAGACATATGTGGACGTACATACATACACATACACATGTATTTAGATGTAAAAGCACAATCAAGCGAAATTCATAAGGTTTAGAGAGCTGCTCCAACTGTTCCCCCTACTTAGACATATGAAAATCAAATCAACAAGGGTTGCCATTGTGTGTGAGGGGGAGGTATAGGGCAGTGCGTTACTTGGGGTCAATGCACAAAAATGCGTAGAACGTGCTGCATGCGAAACGGCGAGGGTGACTAGCGAAAAGGAAGCCGCTACCCGGTTTTCAATTCTCTGCTTTTTTGGTACGTTTCTGTCTGGAATGGTCCAGCGCATACCGTCTGTTCTCTCTCTCTCTCTCTCACACACAAACAAGCGAACACACACATATAAGCACACGCACGCACACGGCGCAAGATGGTGGCGCGAAAGTTTATTGACCCCACGCACAAACCGACTTGCGATATATATTTTGGGGAGGCTGCAGTTGATTCTTCTCCTGCTTCTTCTTCTTCTTATACTTGTTGTTGCTGCTTTCGTGCAAACAGCGCCCCAGAGGGTTGATTAGCAACGCCGACGTCCCCCCCAAACGTAAGCTCTGCACCACCTTCCATCTATTTTGGGGCATTAATATTATGGCTGACATGACTATTTATTTATTTGCAAGACACTTTCTCCCTCTAATGCTCAACTAGGGGTAGTGGTGTCGGTGGTGGTGGTGCTGCTGCTGCCGATGGTGGTGGCCAGACAGACGTCTGAACCAAAAAAAAAAAAATGAATAAATGAAAATAATAAAAGCAAGCCCAAAAGGATCAAAGCCAGACATACGAATGTTATAAATTTTTGTTTTGTGCGACGGCTGCGATGAAGCGTCGAGCTCTGTGTATTCCACCCTTGCCAAAAACACAAAGCAACAGCCACAATAACAACAACAAGTAAAGGCAGGATAAATAAGCGAGAAGGGCAAAAATGCAAGTTGAAAAAGTGGCAGCTGTAAAAGTAAAACAATAAAAGAAGGAAGCAGAAACAGGCAATGGCAAAAAGTGAAACGAAAACGAAATGAAACTGCACAGGCCCATACATACACAACACACATACAAACGGAAACTGTATATATGCATGCACACTATGTATGCTGCCTAGTACAGGACATTGCCGCTGGTGGTAGCCGACATATACATATACGTGCATACTCTCATATAAATATAGTTTATACAAAGTCTACCTACGTAGATAAACATTAAAGCAGTTTCGATAAATAAATGCAATGCAAATGCATTCATTTTTATCGATAGTATGGTATGATCTGGCAATATCATTTAAGCAACTTTAGTTTGTTCAATGTGCAGCCCTGGTGGAAAGGACTCAAAATAGGGAACTTTGGATGTACTCAGCATTGTGCATCCAGTCGATCACTTGAACAGCTACAAAAACAAAATTTAAAAAAACTGGACGTCGCACTGTTAGCAGACCTGCGCTAGCTGCGGCTATGTTTGATTTGTTGTTGTTTTTGTTGTTATTTCTGTTGTCTGCTCTCGTGCTTTGCTTTTTTACTTTTTGTGTTGGTTTTTGGAATTCTAAAAATGCCACCGTCGCCTCCTGCCTGCAGCTCTCACGCTGGACGAACGATGGCGTTCAATGTCCTCTTCGTGTTTGTCTTTCGCTATAGGTACACATACACATACATACATATGCTTACACATACACACACACTTTTACATATTTTTATATCCATATCGTCGAAGCCGTATCGGATGCAGGCTGCTGGGCAGTCTGGGCGAATCCAAATTTGTAAGCGGGAAGGGAACGCCAGCCAGCAGATGACAGGTTTTTTCTTCTCTTTGCTTTATGGTTGTGCTTTTTTTTTATTTCGTGGTTGCTGCACAGGATGTTGTCGTGGTATGTGCCATTGCCTTGTCTGTGTTGACGCCCGGACAGGGTTTTTAGTTTTCATGGTCTGCCGCGGTCGTCGTTGTTCCCTTGACAGCCAGCCAGTCAGCAAATGATGCTGGCAAAAAGCCTGTGACCCGGCGAGACACAAATAAGTTGACGTTCGTACATACCTACATTCATGCACACTCATACACAAATATGTTTGTATGTCAAAATCAGACAGTATTTCTGTCTCATTGTTTCATATATTCTTCCCCTTATTTAAAGTAGGGAACTAAAAACGAAGTCAGCAAACAAACTTATATATCATGTATTTACTATTTTAGATATTGTTTATTAACTAATTAACTAATTAAGATCATTTACCCCTGCGAATGTATGAATGTACAAGATGAGTCTATTTCGGAAGTGTTTCCAAAAAAGAATATGGCGTGAGTTAAAAAATTGCATTTCCTTTCAAGTCATATTAACATCATTGCTTGTATAATAAAGAATATGATCCACATAGCTCGATCAAACAAAATGCCATATGTTGATGTATATGAATAAAGCAGCAGCTGTAATGAACTTAAGAACACACATACACACTACTATTCGTATGGTTTTCATATACACACGTTAGTATGTATATATGTATGAATGCAAATGCACTTCCAAAGGGTTCAAAGCATAATGGGGGGAACGAACAGAAAATGAAACACAGACTAGACCAAATTGCAAATTTATATATGTGTATGTATATGAAAGAGGAACGCATTACGTTTAGTGAAACATGAAACGGCGCCAACCAACGGCACACACATATACACTCATTTAAAACTCCGCTATTACAACACACGCTTCAAGTGTATGTGTGGGTGTGGATCTGGATTGGACACCGGGACGTGAGAAACGTTTTGAGATAACGGAACACGGTTTTGCATTAGTCACCACCACCAAAGAGACAGGCGAGCGAACAGTCAAAGACAGGCTGCTATAACAACAACAGATGTGAGCAACGATGATGACGACGCTGCCGCCGCCACCGCTGCCAGCGACTCCACCACCACCACCAACAAACAAATGAGCCGCAAGGCATTATTTTCTGGCAGAACATGTACAAATAAAAATAAAAATAAAAATAAAAATTTAAAATAAAAGTGGAATCAAATGCAAATGCGGCGTAGGGTGGAGAATTAAACGGCCTAGCAACTCTAAAATTAATAATGTATGTACATGTTCACGCTTTTATGTACATATTAATATGCATATGTGCGTATGTATTGAAATAACAGCGAATAAAAAAGAATAACAGAATTGAGCGCTGGCAGCGAACTGGTCTTCTAGCATACGCTTCCGCCTTTGCGCACGCTCGGCGTCGGCAGCGCAACTGCTGCCTGTGTGCATGAATTTGCATAATTTGATATTGTGTGAGTATGTGTGTGAAACATGTATAACAAACACGCACACTGGAACGTATTGTATACTATACAACGAGGGGAGGCGTGGTAATCACAATAAAAAGAAATTCAGAAAAAATGACACCTTTTGGCTTAATATATTTTCAATAAAAGTATACTTATGTGCACTTATGTACACAAAGAGCTGATTTGAAGTTTTTTTTTCTTATTTGATTTATTTGCTGCTTTTGCACAAACCTGTATTCCATTCGGCGTTTCTGTTTTGGTGCTTGTTGTTATTGTTGCTTCGCTGCAGTTTATTTTCGCCGTTTCTTTATTCCTGTCTGCATTGACGCACTAAACGAAGTACTGCAAAAAAGTCTTGTGCTCGTTCGAAATGTCGGTGCTTTTTGCTTTTTTTTGGAGCAATACGACGATCACGACGTTCACGTTAAATGCATTGCACAAATAATTATGTTTGCAGTTGCATTTTTTTGCCGCCTTGCTTTGCATATCATGTGCAGTCGTTGTGTTTCTTTTGCCGCCTTTTCTGCTGTATACGACTTTTTGTTGCTTCCAAACACACACACATACGTACGCACAGCCACATGTATGCACTTGCACGAACACAAACACACGCGCGGCGTTTTAATGCTTGCAATATGCTTATGCTGCTGCTTCTGTTAGGTTTGGCAATTTCTTTTTTTTTTCGTACCAGCTTTGAATTACACTAAAAATTGATTAACGTATCATCGTTGCGCCCTAAATAACGATTGTACTAATTACAAAATAACAATGCTATGTTTATAAATTCGCAGTGATTAAGTTTCGAGCGTGTTCTCTCTGTCTATGGAAGAAGAACACGAGTGTTGCAAGACATCTAAAACCAGCAACATATTGCTTATCGATAACCAAAACACAGGGTTGCCGAGTAACCGATAAATATTGTGCACGTTTTTGAGCAAAACAATTGTTGAAATTGTGAAATTTGCTACATAATGGGCGCATTAGCAGAGGTATTTAGTGAAATAAAACGAAATGAAAACTAAAAATTATATAAATGTTTGCATGTTTTAGCTTGCAGGCGATGAAAAAAATGGCGACGGCTCCCGCACATTTGTTTTTATCAACGAGGGCCACACGCTGGGCAATGCATTAAAAACAATTATAGCCCGCTATCCGGAGGTCGATTTCTGCGGCTATACGATACCACATCCCACCGAGCAGAAGCTACATTTTCGCATACAGTCGCATAGAGAGCGAGCAATAGATCTACTTAAGCGGGGACTGGAGGATCTAGAGGCACTGTGTGATCATACAATAGAAACCTTTGAGAAAGAGATAAATACGTTTAATGCCACAACTGTAGAGATTAACTAATATATATGCTAGCCTATGGAAAGGTATCATGACTTTTTTTCTAGACAACGCTGCGTGCCTTCTTCGGATCGTAGTTGGGCTTACGCAGATGATGATAATTGGGCAGCACCTTCCTTAAAAAGTCAATCTGCAAAGTTTGCGACCCTTGCTTCTCAATGGCTTCACGTTGAAGCGCCTGCTGCCCATATACAATGGTGTTTTCGGGCATTAATTGAACTGTGCGCATTTGAATGCCTGCTCCTATTACACAGCCACTGGATACGGTTACTCCTCGGCCTACAAAGCACTTGCTCTCAAATACATTCTTGTCGCCAATCCGTGCCGCCTCCACCGTGCAGCCCACTTCGAAGACATTGTGACTCCCGATGCTTAGAATATTATTGGCATCCCAGCTGGCACCGTCAGCTAAGCGATGCGCAATGGTTGCATATTCCTCCACAATACAATTTTCGCCTAGTATAATGGGGCCAGCGTCGGCAATGATTGTTGCACTGGGATGGACAACGCAGCCAGATGAAAAGGTGATGTCACCACGTAGTGTACTCTCCTCGCATACCACCGATTTAGGCAGTATTTTTATGCTGAATTGAAATACTTTTTGTGTATAGTAACTCATTGTCTGTTCTATATACTTACTTGTTTTCAGTAGGCATTGCAAAAATTGTATTTCCTTTCCGCAAGATGTTTATGTTTTGTGCTCACAATAGTAGTAATCGAGTATTCGATAAGTTGAATTAATCGGAACAAAGCTATTTAAATATTGTATAAGTCAATGTATTTATTATTTTGCTAGAATATTTATAATTAGTTTAACAAATCAAATCAAAAGATTCATCAAATTCGTGAAGTATAAATATTTAATATTCATTTATGTATTGTCTTGCGCTTTTAGTTAAACTGGAATTAATGTTTGTAACAGTGCCCTTCTGAGAAATGTCCCACTGTTAAAAAAGTCCCATCGCTTTGATATATATTAACGTTCATCTTTTTTCTACACTAAGCTGATGCAATTGCAGTGCATTATTTCCAGCGGGCTTCGAGCTTATAAATATTAACATTAAAAGCTATTCGTCATAATTCAAAGAAAATGCCTACAGAACAGTTGGCTGATCTAACAATGAGTAAGTTATAATATAATTAATATTAATTAACAACTATTAATGCGGCATTAATGGCTGTCCACGTTGTCAATATATGTATGTACTTACATATATATATATATAAAATATTTACCGTTTCTGCATTTTATGAATGTATTGATATTTTCAGGTGCGCTTTTCACATCGGAAACGCGTGGAAGCGATGAGTCAGGCAATGGCAGCGAGATCAAGCCTTATAAAACCATCTTGCAGGCGATGCGTCATGCCGCCAAGGAACCCTTCCCCACCATCTATGTGGATAGCAAGGATCCTAAAGCCAACGCACTTTTCGAACCGGCAGCTAAGTCGCAGTTAAAGAAAATCCAAAAGCTATTTGTGCGTGAGGGTCAGAAGAATGCTGAAAAGCAGCAGCGCGAGGCCGAGGATGCCGAGAAGCGTGCACAGAATCTGGAGGAGGCGCGCAAAGTGAAGATCAGCGAAGATCCCAGTTTGCCGGTGGCTCAAAGGATACGTATCGAAAAGGGCACCGAGCACCGTAATGCTCGTGTCAAAATTTATGGCTGGGTGCATCGATTGCGCCGACAGGGGAAATCCCTAATCTTCATCACGTTGCGCGATGGCAGCGGCTTCCTACAGTGCGTCTTGAATGATGTGCTCTGCCAGACTTACGAGGCGCTAATGCTGAGCACCGAGAGCACCGTAGCGTTGTATGGCACCTTGAAGCTGGTGCCGGAGGGCAAGACAGCGCCTGGTGGACACGAGTTGATTGTGGATTATTGGGAGCTGATTGGATTGGCGCCACCAGGCGGTGCTGATGCCATACTCAACGAAGAGGCGCACCCCGATGTCCAACTGGATAACAGGCACATCATGATTCGTGGCGAGAACACTTCAAAGGTGCTAAAGATGCGCTCCGTTGTGATGCAGGCGTTCCGTTCGCATTACTTCGATCGCGGCTATAACGAGGTGACGCCGCCAACGCTTGTCCAGACCCAAGTTGAGGGTGGCTCCACGCTGTTCAAGATGCAGTACTTCGGCGAAGAAGCCTTCCTAACCCAGAGCTCGCAGCTGTACTTGGAGACCTGCCTACCGGCCTTAGGCGATGTGTTTACCATTGCGCAAAGCTATCGCGCTGAACAGAGTCGCACGCGTCGTCATCTGGCCGAGTATACGCACATTGAGGCTGAGTGTCCTTTCCTTTCGTTCGAAGATTTGCTTAACCGTATCGAGGACTTGGTCTGTGATGTGGTCGATCGCATTTTGAAGTCGCCTTGGGGTTACCTAGTGAAGGAGCTCAACCCAGATTTTAAGCCCCCGACGAAGCCCTTCAGACGCATGGAATACGTGGATGCTATCAAATGGCTGAAGGATAACAATGTGTCCAAGGATGATGGCACTTTCTACGAATTCGGCGAGGACATACCAGAGGCACCCGAACGCAAGATGACGGACACCATCAACGAGCCGATTCTGTTGATCAGATTTCCAGCTGAAATCAAATCGTTTTATATGTCGCGCTGCCAAGACGATCCACGTCTCACTGAGAGCGTCGATGTGTTGCTTCCCAATGTGGGCGAAATTGTTGGCGGCTCAATGAGGATCTTCGACAATGACGAGCTATATAAGGGCTATGCACGCGAGGGCATCGATCCCGCGCCCTACTACTGGTACACAGATCAGCGCATCTACGGCACCATGCCGCATGGTGGCTACGGCCTGGGTCTGGAACGCTTCCTTTGCTGGCTACTCAATCGCTATCACATCCGTGAAGTCTGTCTCTATCCTCGCTTCCTCGATCGCTGCAAGCCCTAAAGCGCCCCATCAAACCTTCAGCTACAGCATTTATATTTCAACTATCTTCGCTTGGAGCTCAATATATTCTGCATAATTTAACTTACGTCTGGATCACGTAAAACACGCTTCAAAGAGCAAATATTTTTTAATTTAAATTAAAGATCATTTTGCTTGAGAATTAGCACAGCTAATTTAGAAAGAGCTTCAGATAAATATTGGCTTAAATAAATATTGTCAAATACTAGCCAAGCATTACTGGCATAACTATATCAAATATATATTGTTTATATACCTTGTCTATCAATCTATGAAGCCTATCTATCCGTATTTGTATCTGCGCCTGAGTATCTCTATACCTATCTGTATCTGTATATATATGTATCAGTATGAGTGTGTCTATCGTTCTGCACATAGTTATATTTATATATATATATATGAATATCTATGTCTATTCATCTATCTAAAGATATATATTGATCAATCTGTATACCCAGCTGTCTATGTAGGAATGAATCCATCCAGCTTTATATCATTTTATGAATTTGCATATATCTATGCAGTTTTCTAAATACCTATCTAGATATCTATATTCTCAACTATATATAGCAATCAATCTATGTATTTGTTACTATGTAGCTTTCTTATCTATCCAGGGCAAGATTTATACGAACACTTCCAAGTGTGTACCAGGTGCACATATACATATATTTAAGGCATCCGAAAACTAAAAAAAATATATTTATAATCGGAATCAGCCTTAAGAAGTGGCATAAATCAGAAGTCTGTTACTTATTGCTATAAAAGAAAAATAGGAGAACTAAAAAATATCATAGTAATATATTTCTGTACATGTATTTTCTGTACATGTATGGAAAGTTATGTATACAGATATAGCTATAGATTAATACACATTGTCTTAATGATTAAAATCTTTCAGTTCGAGAAAAGGTAAAGGAACTTCAATCGGTGATAAGCATTGCTATTTATACGAATGGGGCGTGAACTACGAGACTGTTAAAGCTGAGCTTCCCGCCTTGAGCTGATATGAAATGCCTCAATCGCAGTCAGTCTTGACTGCACTCGAACAGAATTGAGCCCGAAAAGTTTTTCCTAGAGTGTAAGTGTTTTTATACCATCAATGTTTAACCGAACATTCCGAAAGCTTTTGCTAATATTATTAACAACCCTGCCAGAGATAAAATGCGAAAATGTTGAGAAAGCTGTAAGTATAACAACGCCAGAATGGTCTAGAATTGTGATTATTCCCAAGAATTTACTCTAGTATTGCTCGGACTCTGGCTCACGGAAATTAAACGAGCAGTGCGGGGGCTATTGTTACAAGGTAGCAAAGCCGCTTCTACAATACGCATCCTCCGTGCGATCAATGGAAAATCAGTTTACCGATTTGACTATCAAAGCTCAGAGTCTTGAGGCAACTATCAAGTCCCTAGAGACTCAATTGGAAGTTAGTAAAAAGTATTGCTTGGAAGAGAACTAGACCAATAAGAGATCCGAAACTAACAGAAATATTGTGAAGGGAAGTGCTGAACCACTGGATATGCTCGCGATTTTGATCTTTCAAATGTTTACTGAATCTGATCTATTGGGTTTATTGTAAAATATCTGATATACATTAAAAGACAAATGCCAAATGCGATATTTATTTATGGAATCTAAACAGATTATTTTATATATATTTATAGTTTTCAAGGTAGGGCAGACGGACATACATGCGATAGGCTAGTTCAACACACTCCCTATATATATGCTTTATAGATAACACAATTTGAACAATGAGTGCTTCATGTGAAATTTCTCAAGCCTTTACGAGACTAGGAGACTACAGTTCTACTCGTGTCTAGAGAACTCTTTCGTTTTAATGACGTTTGGAGTTTAAGATCCAAGCTCAAATTTAAGAATTCCATAAAAATATATATTTGCATTAAAATCCAAACATTATACATACAAATTTATATATATATGTTTTTTTCAATGAAACCTTTTTAATTTGTTTGCCCAATCGAGCAGAATTCACAGAAAATTTGGAAATTTTGCACCTTTAAAATAACTGAAAACGTTGTATCTTAAGAGTCATAATTAAAACGTTACTTCTTACAGTAATTGGACAGACGTTTTTGGCGCTCCATGGCACTGACCTGGTAAGCCTGCATGGGAGAGGATTATATATATATATATATATATCAAAATAATCGGTAAGTAAAGCTGCCTTGCCTGACGACGATATCTTTGTTTCTTTGATTCGCTCAGACACCTCCACTGTTGGGCGGCCAACATGACAAGTTGCTTAGCTAGGAGACCGCAATACTTGCGTCTAACGGTGCGTACGAAGTTCAGATAAGCATTATTTGTGATCGGGCCCGGCTTCACCCATTTGTTGGGTTTCTTGCGTTTACGTACAGCTGGTTGGGCGCATTTGGTCGTCGTTTTGTGTGCCTGAGGCTTTGCTCTTTGACCACGTGAGCGGCGTGGACATCGCATATCATCGGAAGAAGTCATTGGGCAATCTGCTTCATCGCAGAATTCCATACAACTTTGCTTTTGACTGTTGCGTGTATCGTTGTGTCCACTCCGATACGCTTCCTTACCCTTCAAAGGCATTCGGTTCCATAATTTGGCAGCATTGATTAAATGTTTCAATCTTGGATCGGTTTGATTGGTCCTCTCTGATCTGTTCTCAGAGTCTAGCATCTTCACGTCCTCGTCCATGTCCACGTCCATTATGTCTCTTGATTACTAACAGATAAAGTTTAGCAGATAAACGATCAACGATCGCAATGCACTTACAGAAAACTATTCACTTGGAATTTTGCACACTAGTAACATTTAAACATATAATATAAAAAAAATTGTTGCTGAACATACAAACAACATTAAAGTGTTGGAAACCTGAATTTTATTTATGTGCACCGAATCTGGGACAAAAATTATGAATTAAAGCCTACTTCGTTTTCTGGACAGAGGACAGAGGAAAACGGAAGTCCAAATGATCAAAAAGCACAAAAATGAGAAGACTCAAATAGTTATTTTTTGTTTGTCTTTTAAAAATAAAATATACTACGCCTCAATACCGCCATCTGTGAAGGTAAGCCGTGCTTTGCACATTGCTGTAAAACATCATATTTCCATCAAAGGGACTTTTGCATAACAGAGGATTTTTGTACTGTTTAGGATCTCGGGTTTCCGAAAAAACGAAATTCCTACTGTAAAGTTAACAGAGCGCTTTAAATAACACAGTAGTTCTGTTCTGGCGAAATCAACACTGTTAAGTGACTCGATCTTTGACAAAGTTAACAGATCGCTTTCTTAGTTGAGTTTTATATTGAAATATCTATCGGAAATTACTGTCTAGCCGCAATAAACCAGACTCTAACCACAAAGCAGGCAAGAAGGTTAAAGACCTTGACCTTTATGTCGTATGGTATCACTTTGAGTTACTAAAGGCTTGATAATCTCTCCCATTTTTATTTTGTATATCGCGGAATTATAATTCAGATAATTTATGTGTACACAAATGTTCTGAGTCAAATGTTATGTTGCTGTTATGTTGGTTTTTCACTCTATTAAGTATATTGTAAAATTATGATAGATCACAGATTAAATCGTTGTGCATTCCATAAGATTAGTTTGTAATATTGTTAAGCAACTGTTCGATGTTCTTATCGACGATATTTTCGGTAATTGGTGTTTCATCCAGATCCATATCCTCCTCTAGAGTCTCTTCGTCTTCTATAAAATATTCCTCGTCTTCAGCCTCAGCGTCAGCCTCGGCTTCGGCTTCGCCATCGGCCTGGGGCACAGCCTCCACCTCGGCAGTCAGATGCTCTTTTCGATAATGATTTCGCAACAAGTCACTGATTGTGGCGCACACAATCTGTCTCACCTGTGCATCAAAGCTAGGTGGCAGCCAGCCGGTTCGTTCATTGCAAACAGCGCCTGTTAACGGTGTCGGTATCTTTTCCAGCATTTCCTGTATTTTAGGCAGTTGCACATCGCAATAACGTAGCATGCACTGCCTAGAGCGTGGAAGCTTTTTATCATCGAAATATGGATAATCTATGTTTTGGACCAATTCACTTTTCAGCTCCTCGTTGGCGGTCGTTGGTGGTCTCTTCTGTTTTGCCGATTTGCGGGAGTAGACGAATTCCGAAACGCCCGAGCCGAACCGTAAGCGAAAATCAAATGTCTGATAATGTCGACTCTTGAAGTCCTTGCGTGGATCATAGCCATAGCGCACATACAGCGTACGCCAAGGGCCATTGCTGAAGTAAAAGGCTAGCGAGGGTATAATGCATTTGAGCTTTTCGTTAGTGACGCCCGATTCGTAGAGTAGCGCTATACGCGTCCAAATTGGAATTTCATCAAATAGCTTTTTAACGCGAGCGAATTGCTCGTCCGATACATATTTGACTTTAAGTCGCTTATGAATCTGTCCATCTGGCTGAGTGGGAAACGTATCCTGCATATTGAAGGAGACGACATCGTGATTGTCATAGGTGGATTTCGCCGACACTCCAAGCACTTCATCACGGCCATCGCCAGTGCCATCCATCCGATAGTGCCCACTATGCACGATGTCAACACGTGCAAAGAGTTCTGGCAGACAAAGCAACTCCGGGTGCGGGCGGCTGCAAGTCAACGTTTTGCATTAGTTCTCTTCCAATTAATCTCATTCGTGTTACTCACCTGAAGTATTCCAAATCTGTAACATCGCGTGGCTGCAACTGTTCGAGGGCGTATTTAAGTTCTGTTGCGGCGCCAGCGTCTTCACTTTTGGGCGTGCTCCATAGCGGCAGGTACTGGAAATCACAAAGCGCTACCAGCAGCGGTTCCCGATTAATAATCATATTCAGAAAACCACTACGCCTTACTCACAATCGAATGAGAAACTTCGGCTGCAATGGCCCAGGACGCGGACAAAATGTTGAGGTGGACGGGACTTGTCGCGTTTATGTCGTCGCACGGTTACCGACAATAAAACCCCGGATTTGTCTGTGCAGTCACCGAAGGCGGGCTTATTATATGGATTCTCTGGATGAAAACGCAACTCTAAGCGTTTCTTCTCATCACCCAGGACCTGTGTGGTAATTTATAAGCCTTTTGCCTGAAATAAATAGTTTTTTATACATTACCTTCGATATGTTGACAATGCCACCTAAGGTGGACAACATGCGGTCTGTGTTGACCACACGTCCAGGATATTCAATAAGTTCATATTCCTGCTGTGGACAAAAACTTAATTGGCGAGACATGCTTAAAACTAATTTGTTTACTATTCTGCAAGAATATTTATAACTTGTATCTTTCGAGAACTAGGGCTACGAGCAGCGCGCGAGTTGCAATCGATTTGTTAAAAGATGTAAATAAATATCGATATATTACGATACTCATTGAATATAGCACTCTGAATAAGTACTGTGTGCAGACGATTAAATTCTGTAAGTTAATTTAAATCAAAATATAAATTAATATATATTTATATAATAAAACTTGGTTTTGAATTAATTATGGGACCTAAAATTTAAATTTGTACGGTCTATAAAATCAAAACAAAACGTGAAACGGAAACCGATTTGTTTACTTGAAATATCGATATATAATATTCCAAACATTGAAAACAGCGTATTAGGCTTAGTAACCGGCAAGTACTCTTGTTGTGGCTTTAAATTCAACTTTTGTTAAAATATGTCGAGTAAAAATCGTAAACGCACAGCTAGCAGTAGTAGTAGCAGTGCCGAGGAGCCCGACAGCGAAGAAGAGTCACGTATTAAGGATTTGCGTGAGCGTGATGAATTTGCCAATCGCTTAAAGCAGCGCGATGAGGAGCGAACCCGTAAAGTGGTCGAAGCCACAGGCGGACGCAAGGCAATTGAAGAAGCTACCAAGCGGCTGAAGCTAGAGCATGAGGATCGAGACAAGATTGTGCCACATCTGCGCGTGCAATCACGTCGACAGTACTTAGAGAAGCGCAAGGATGACAAAGTAGCTGAACTAGAAGCAGATATACTCGACGATGAGTATCTCTTCGAGGATAGTGTGTAAGTATTTGCTTTATGACTGTTGTGATGTTTAAGTTTGACTTTTAATTTTCTTAGTCTAACCAAGCGGGAGCGGGAGGAACGTCAGTACAAGAAACAGCTATTGAACATAGCTAAAGAGCATGAGAAGGCACGGGAACTGGAGCGCATTCAGCGCTATCACATGCCGCGGGATCTCAAGAAGGGCGAGCGATGTAAGTCTAATGTCATCTATTTTTTAACACTGATTAAGCAATCTGTGTTGCAGCCGATTACGTAGAGGTGGATGACTTTGAGAAGCAGCCCAATTCGGAGCAGAAGAAATGGGAGGCCGAGCAATTGGCCTCGGCCCGTTTTCAGTTTGGTGCCAAGGATGCCAAAGCTGAGGAGGAATATGAGTTGTTGCTTGATGATCAAATTGACTTCATTCAGGCTCTAACGCTTGACGGTAGTCGCGAGAAGGCTGCCAAGCAAACAGAGCTAACAGAAAAAGAACGCAAACGCATGACTCTGGATGAAACACGTAGATCATTGCCCGTTTATCCCTTTAAAGAGGATCTGATAGCAGCTGTAAAAGAGCATCAGGTGCTAATCATTGAAGGCGAGACAGGTTCTGGCAAGACCACTCAAGTTCCACAATACCTTGTTGAGGCAGGCTTCACGGCAGATAAAAAGATGATTGGATGTACACAACCACGTCGCGTGGCTGCTATGTCCGTAGCGGCTCGAGTAGCTGAAGAAATGGGTGTCAAACTGGGCAACGAGGTTGGCTACAGCATTCGTTTCGAGGACTGTACCTCAGATCGCACCATACTCAAATACATGACAGATGGTACACTACATCGTGAGTTTCTCTCTGAACCGGATCTGGGCTCCTACAGCGTAATGATAATTGATGAGGCACACGAGCGCACTTTGCATACGGACATTCTGTTTGGACTTGTCAAGGATATAGCACGATTTCGACCTGAGCTTAAGTTGCTGATATCCAGTGCCACGCTGGATGCTGAGAAGTTCTCCGCTTTCTTTGATGATGCTCCCATTTTCCGCATACCTGGCAGACGGTATCCCGTGGACATATTTTATACGAAAGCACCCGAGGCTGATTATATTGATGCCTGCTGCGTATCCGTCCTGCAGATTCACGCTACGCAGCCACTTGGTGATATTTTGGTGTTTCTCACTGGTCAGGACGAGATCGAGACGTGTCAGGAGGTGTTACAGGATCGTGTGAAACGTCTGGGCTCTAAAATACGCGAACTTCTTATCGTTCCCGTTTATGCCAATCTGCCCAGCGACATGCAGGCCAAAATCTTTGAGCCAACACCTCCGAATGCACGCAAAGTGATCCTTGCCACGAATATTGCGGAAACATCACTGACCATAGACAATATCATCTATGTCATTGATCCGGGCTTTGCCAAGCAAAACAATTTTAATTCGCGCACTGGAATGGAATCGCTGATGGTGGTGCCAATTTCAAAGGCTTCGGCAAATCAAAGAGCTGGTCGAGCTGGTCGAACGGCCCCAGGCAAATGTTTCCGCCTATATACCGCCTGGGCATACAAACACGAACTGGAGGAAAATACGGTGCCAGAAATTTGTCGGATCAACCTCGGCAATGCGGTGCTGATGCTAAAAGCTTTGGGCATTAATGATCTGATACACTTTGATTTCCTTGATCCACCACCACACGAGACGTTAGTCTTAGCACTGGAGCAGCTATATGCCTTGGGTGCACTCAATCATCATGGTGAATTGACGAAGCTGGGCAGACGCATGGCAGAATTTCCTGTTGATCCGATGATGGGCAAAATGCTGCTTGCCAGCGAAAAGTATGTGCACAAACGTAGGTTTTTCTAATTATAAAATGTTAATAACTTTAAATTTTTTGCAGATATAAATGCTCTGAGGAGATGGTCACCATAGCGGCCATGCTATCAGTTAATAGCGCCATATTCTACCGACCTAAGGATAAGATTATACATGCTGATACTGCTCGGAAGAATTTCAATCACATGCATGGAGATCATTTGAGCTTGCTGCAGGTCTATAATCAATGGGCGGAGACGGACTATAGTACACAATGGTGCTACGAGAACTTCATACAGTATCGTTCCATGAAACGGGCAAGAGATGTACGAGAACAATTGGTTGGTCTAATGCAACGTGTGGAAATCGATATGGTTAGCTGTCTGCCAGAGACAATTAACGTGAGGAAGGCTTCTACAGCGGGCTACTTCTATCATGTGGCACGATTATCAAAGGGCGGACATTACAAGACAATTAAGCACAATCAAACGGTTATGATACATCCCAATTCGTCATTGTTTGAGGAGCTACCTCGTTGGGTGCTTTATCATGAGCTGGTATTCACCTCCAAAGAATACATGCGCCAGGTGATAGAGATTGAAAGCAAATGGCTACTGGAGGTAGCACCCCATTATTACAAAGCAAAGGAGCTGGAGGATTCGACCAATAAAAAAATGCCTAAAACGGCCGGGCGTGCAGAGATGACGCAATAAATAACTTTGAAAATACTTTAATGAAAGCAAAATTCTTTGAATTGCTCTTGATTACTTTTGCGTTTGTGAAACTTATCGACATATCGATATCTGTGCATATTGTGCAACACTTATCGTCAGCATGCATTTCACATTGCCGCTATTGGTATTTTTCAACACTGTCAGCTGTCGTTCCGTTGCGTGCGGTTTTAATAAAGCTAGCAATATTGTACAACTTTAACGTAATTACACATTTTTCAGGAACGCAGAATCAATTAAAAAGTTAGTAAAACTGTATATTGTAAATATGTACACAAGGAAAGCATGTTATATACATTAATACAAGCGCAAACTTTGCACTTGGCAAGTTTACATGACGTTCTAACCTAAAAATCTGACGAAATATGAATCTGAGTCGGCTTTCAAATAATTTACATAAACATATATACAAAATACATTTTATATTTGTATCTGAAGTGCCTTAATTTTCCGTTTTGTGTTTTTAGGTATAATGGCTGCTCAGTTCTTTAACCGCATTGGCCAAATGGGTCTCGGCGTTGCCTTGCTTGGCGGCGTTGTCAACTCCGCATTATATAACGTTGAGGGTGGCCATCGGGCTGTGATTTTTGATCGCTTCACTGGCATCAAGGAACACGTTGTTGGCGAGGGTACACACTTCTTCATACCCTGGGTGCAGCGACCTATCATCTTCGATATTCGCTCCCAGCCCCGAAATGTTCCAGTGATAACAGGCAGCAAAGATTTGCAGAACGTGAATATTACGCTTCGTATCTTGTATCGCCCAATTCCGGATGAGCTGCCAAAGATTTACACGATTCTTGGCCAGGATTATGACGAGCGCGTGTTGCCTTCTATTGCGCCTGAGGTGCTCAAAGCCGTTGTTGCTCAATTTGATGCCGGCGAACTGATTACACAGCGTGAGGTGATCTAACAAATTCATAGCTGTTTTATACATAAATTATAATCAAATGCTTATCATCTTCAGATGGTATCGCAGCGTGTGTCCCAGGAGCTGACTGTCCGAGCAAAGCAGTTCGGCTTTATTTTGGATGACATCTCATTGACTCACTTGACCTTTGGACGTGAATTCACATTGGCCGTTGAAATGAAACAAGTTGCCCAGCAAGAGGCCGAGAAGGCGCGATTTGTCGTCGAGAAGGCAGAGCAACAGAAATTGGCTTCCATTATTTCAGCTGAGGGTGATGCTGCTGCTGCCGATTTGCTGGCCAGGTCGTTCGGTGAGGCTGGAGACGGTCTGGTCGAGCTGCGTCGCATTGAAGCTGCTGAGGACATTGCCTATCAGCTATCAAGGTCACGTGGTGTCGCCTATTTGCCCAGTGGACAAAGCACGCTGCTTAATCTGCCCTCAACCTTGGCGCAGTAAAGCCCGTACCAAGTCGTCTTAAGTTGTAACTACCTGTAGCATTTATTAAGTACTTTCGATTTGTTTCTAAATCAGAAACCACAGCAACGTGTATAGCATCTGCGTTAATTGTCCATTCGCCGTAACCAATAAGCCAACATTTTTAATCATTTTCGTGCTTTTATTACTGTGCCGACATATATTGTTCAACTTTTGTTACCAAATGAACAATTTGTGTGAGCATCTGAGCAAAACTCAGGCGGAATGGGCAAAATAAATTTACATTTTGCTGGTCTCTTGAAAAATTTGTTATGTGAACCACAGAATTCAACACAATAAATACATATTAAATATGGAGCCTTTAATCTATAATTGTTATTGAAAAGAGTCGACAACAATAAAAGGCGGAAAGTTAAACCTTAAGGCTG